CTTCGGCGTCATCCCCCTTTTGGGCAGCGGCTCGGAGGCGCCGGACCCGTCCGCCGAGGACCGAGCGTAGGTGACCCCGCTGCTGTGGGATGGGGTACGCTGGGAACCGGGGCACGGCCGCTTTGCGGGGAGAAAGGGTGGTCCCGGGCTGCGGAGACGAAGGCAGCATTTAGACCCCTGGAATTCTGCACCGCTGGGGAAGCGGTGGTGGGTGTAGGGGGTGCCTGTCCCGTCCCTGAAGGGTGGGGTTTTTGCCGCGGGTGCAGGGTGGGAAGGTGGCTGCTCACCGTTGAGCAGAGGCGTTGCGGACGGTGGGGACGTGCTGCAGGGTGGGTTTGCTGACCGCTGCACGTGTGCTCCTTGCTTTCAGACTGAAGCTGTACCATGGGACGCCGCGTGCCTTACTGCACCCACGCTTCCAGGACCCCATGGAAAGTAAGCAGCAGCGAAACCTCGCGTCTCGCTCCTTGCTTGGTGGCCACGCGTACCCGAGCGAGTATCGTGCGTGTCCGGTCGATGTGGTACGGGGTCCGTGCCCTGGTGCTGCTGAGCGGACGTGCCCTGCTGCCAGCCGGGAGAAGCGTGGCTGCGCAGGCCCAGGTTTTCCTTTGCTCCCAACACGTTGTGTTCGTGGATAATGATTTCTTCAGCAGTGGTGCTGCAACGCTGTCCGAGCTGGTTTGGGTCACTTTGGGATGTTTTCTCTTCTTCAGAGAACAAATACTTGACGGTGATGGAGAAGAGCCACCTGCAGTACACCCTGAAGCCCCACCAGCCCCTGGAGAAGATATTTCACCTCCTTCCCGAAAACCTGCTGGTGTCTGGGCTGCCGACCATTCCCGGCTTGCTGCCGGCATCCGGAGATGCGAGTAAGGGCTCCTTCCCTTTCCCTGCTGCCTTCGCCGCTCCCGCTGAAGGCGGCGGGTCCCCGGGGAGGCTGTGGGCAGCGCGGTGGCGGGGGGTTTCTGGGAGCAGGAGCATCTCCCCTGCCTGGGCTGGTGGGACTGCAGCCCTCGCCTTCACAGCTCAGCCTGAAAGACGTCAAAATGGCGTTGGTCTGTTCCACGTCCGTTAATTGCTTTGCTGCTGGGAAGCTGCTGGGGATGAGTGGTGGTTGGTTTAATTACAGTCGTTCAGCGGAGATTTAGGAGCAGCCCTTGCAGTTGTTTAAAGTCCTCCTCCTCCTTTGTGGCAGGGCTCAGGATCACTGGGGTCTGGCAGGTTTGGAGGGACGAGCTCTTGCACGCTCAGCCCTCGTTAATCTTTCCCTGTGGGCAGCAGCCCTGCCGTTCGAGCTGCCGCAATTTAAATTATCTGATCTGAAGATTCAGAGGGTAAAAAGTACTTTCAGTTCTGCAGCTGAATTATTCTTCAGCTTACTGCCTGGGGTTGTAGCTGTTAATGTTGAAGCGGAGTGAGGTCTCCAGAGCAGCCGAGTCCCTGGTGCTGCTGAGACCACTGCTTGAAAGTGGAAGAGGGGAGAGCCAGCGTCTTGCACTGCGCTGGCGGTGGCTTTACTGAGTAAACAGATTGCCCCCGTTGACACCGAGGGTGGTAGGTGTCTCTGGGTCTCTCCCAGGCGTAGCGGTGTGCATGTGCTGGGGAAGCTGGGTGAAGCAGGAACGTTTCATGGCGCATCTCTGCGAACAGCCCACGTCCCCAGAAAGGCGGTGGCCCCGTGGCCAGGGAGCCCGTGCACGGCCCCGACCTCTCCCCGCTGCTGCTTTCGTCTTGGCTCTGCCCCGCGTTCCCAGCGCCGTCTGCCCCGCTCGCAGCGTAACCTCTGCCCGCTGCCTTCTCTCGCAGGTGACTGCTTGCAGAAGCCCCGGCTGATGAAGCCGGGGACCTGCTACCTGGAGCGGCTGGCC